AATGGCCAGTGACCATCAGAGAGGTCTCGGAGGGTGGGAGAAAGGGGAATGCGGCACCTGGTCCCGCTCGGGAGCCCTTTGGCATCCAGGCGGGGACTGCAGGGCTGGGAGCAGCAGAGCCCTTCCTGCCAATGGGGCTGCAAAGAAGCCCACGCGAGTGCCCCAGGCCAATGTCCCCAGCCTGCACGCGACCCCTCCGGCCCTTCGCACTCATCTTCTGCAGGCACCGATGCGCTCCTGTCCCAGCAATCCTTGGGCCTCCCACCCCAGCGCTGAAAAGGAGCCTTCAAAGGGGAGCGGGTACAGCCAAACAAGGAAATGAAAAGGCAGCCGTGCAGGAAACCAAAACGCAGCCCGTATCATTAGCTGGGATGTTTTGCATTTCAGATGAGCTTCTCAGAAAATTATTACTTCCACAGAGGCTTTCCCTCGACCTGGGGCCGCGCAGGACCACTATAAAAGCCACCCCAGCTCTTCACTCTCTCATCCGCTTCGCTCCCCTTCTTCTCCTTCGGAAGCAAGTGAGTTGGAAGCCCTGTCCTAGACCGGGGCTTGGGGCTGCTGCTCCTGGGAGGGGAAGCGGGGAGAAGGTCTGGCGTGGACAGGGCCTGGGTCTGGGCCGAGGGGACGGCTCTGCTCTTGTCTAGGAAAGAGCTTTCCTGTGCCTGGCTCTCTTTGCACGGCGCGCGGGGGGACAGGCAAAGAGCGGGGGGACGGACAGGCAAAGAGGCGCGTGGGCCTCCCTGCAGAGCCTCCAGCTCCCCTCCCAGCACGTGCCTTGGCTCCCTCGTGGTGGGCGCACAGGCTGCTCCTCACACGCCCCCGTGCTCCTCCCTGCCCTCTCTCCCAGGTGCACCTCCAGCCCCAAGACATGTCCTGCTACAACCCGTGCCTGCCATGCCAGCCCTGCTGCCCGACCCCGCTGGCCAACAGCTGCAATGAGCCCTGTGTCAGGCAGTGCCAGAACTCCACCGTCGTCATCGAGCCCTCTCCCGTGGTGGTGACCCTGCCCGGACCCATCCTCAGCTCCTTCCCGCAGAACACCGTTGTGGGATCCTCCACCTCCGCTGCTGTTGGCAGCATCCTCAGCTCTCAGGGAGTGCCCATCACCTCTGGGTGCTGTGACCTCTCTGGCATTTCCAGCCGCTACTGCGGGAGAACATGCCTCCCCTGCTAAAGCTGCCGCAGGCGGCCCCACAGGAGGACCCCCAGGAACCCAGAAGACGGTAATGGACTGAGCACGGAGATCCTGGCCATGGCTTTCAAAGGGGCTGAGCATCCACGGCTCCAGCCGCAAAGGAAGGCAGGAAGAGGCGCGCCTGGGCTCTCTGAAAACATGGCCCTTCTCTAGCTTGCCTGTTTCTCAGTCTCTTTTCTCTCTCTCTTCTCTCTGTTGTCTTCTGCTCCCCTGGGCTCTGAGCACCTGCTAAGCCCCACGCGAGGAAGGACCTGCTGCCCCTTTCCCTCTCGGGGGCAGGCAGGCAGGCAGGCAGGCAGGCAGGCAGGCGCCCAGTGCGAACTCCACCCTGGCCAAGGGGCAAAGACTCCTAGCTCCCCCTGGTGCTCCCTGCACCTTGGCCCCCCACTCAGAGGACCTCCTTCCCCTCTTTCGACTCATTAAAGTTCTGCTGCATCCCAGCCTGGGCCTCTGCGTGGTCCTTCTCTCTCCGGACGCTCTCCCTGGCTTCCAGAGAGAAAGGTGTCGCTCTGGGGAGATCTTGCAGGCACAAAGGAGAGCCATTGGCATTCCCGCAGGAAGCGGAGGGTGAGACCCAGGCAATGGGCTCCTTTCAAGACACTGTCCCTTGCAGCTGAGGGAGATGCCCCCGGCCGCTGCAGGGCCAGCAGCCGTCAGGGCCTGCCTTGCTGCATCCCTGCACGCAAATGCCCTCCTCAGCCTTTGAGCACGCCCTGCAGATGACGGGGAGCCCAAGCACTGCCCGAGCGAGGAGTCCATCTCCCCGGCCGCACTGGCGGGTGGTGGCGGCACTGGGCACTGGTTCTGCAACCAGCAGCACCTGTGAGCCCTCCCTGGCTGGCACCTCTTGCTTCAGGAGGGCCCCTCTCCCTGCGGCAGGTGTGGTGGTGGCGGTGGTGGTGGTTGTGTGACAGGTTGCGCCTCACGTGCCCCTCTGCTCCTCCCTGCCATCTCTCCCCGGTGCACCTCTGGCCACAAGACAGCTCCAGCTACAACCTCTCTCTCCCTCAGGCGAGGAAGAGAGGTGGGCTCTTCCTCGCCCACCTGCCTTTGTGGCTTCCAACTGCAAGCCGGTGCTTCTCCAGCATTTCAGCTCTCCTTGCGTTGACTTAGCCTTCCTTGTAGGGCTTGCAGGGATCTTCTCTATCCCCAGTCAGGCTGCCAGCACTCCCTCCAGCACAGCTAGAAGAGGCGGAGTTTCCAAGTGCAGATGTGGTCTGTTTCCTGACAGCTCACTCTCTGTCTCTCTAGGCACGCATGTAGAAACAGCACATAGGAGGCTTTGCGCTACCTGCAAAAGGGATGTGTAGAGTCCTGCTCCCCCTTTCACGCCCGTTGCTCACAACACGTCATGCTCCCATCCTTTGCCACGCGCCATCTGCAGCCTCCCCTCTCCCAACACGATAGCTCCCAGTTTTGCCAAAGGGCCAGGACTCCCCTCTTCCCCCTCCAGCGCTGACACTCCCACTGGCCCACCGCCCTGCTCCTCCCCAGCCTGACACCCGTGTCTCACCAGCCTCCGCCAGTCCCGCCAAGGCTGCCGGGCAAACCTGGACCGCGTCACGCTCCCCACTCAGCAAGGTGCCCAGGGAGCTCCAGGAAGTGGGAGCTGAAGCTTGCCAGCTCCTGTCTTCTCCTCCCTCTACCAGCTCAAAGCCACCTCCAAACCTCAGCCCAAAGGGCGGAGCAAAACACTCCGAGGGCTGCCTGGGATCTCACACCTCTGCCCCAGGGAGCTTTTCTACTCACATTGCCTAGTGGTTAAAGCACTTGCTCGGCCAGACTAAGGGAGTCAAGCGGCCAGCGGTGCTGGGCCCCGGGCTCCCCAGGGCCAGGACCAGGTTTTCCAGCGCTGGGAGCTTCCAACTGGTGCAGCCAGGCCACAGCTCGACCTTTCAAAATCCTCTCGGTCACAAGGGCCCTGAACATCCTCGCAGGCACTCATACCCGCTTGTAACACTGCTGCCTCTTGTGAAACTCCAGGCCAGGCTGCCCAAGGGGAGCCGTGCACGCCTGCGACAGGCAGGTGGCAGCCTGCTGACAGTTCCCAGAACTGGCAGTGCAGTGCTCAGGCAGAAGGAGACAAAGGAGGCAGCCAGGGACACAGCCCTCACACCCATCTCCAGCAGGGCAAAAGGCTCCCTGGCCGACTTCTCTGGCCACCCAGCGCACAGCCAGACACAGGGCAGCATCTGTGTCGGCACACATTGATGCCGAGCAGCGCTGCTTTTCTCCTGCTTGATGACACCGATCCCCATTTCTGCCTCGCCCTCTCCATCCAGCACTTCTCAGGACATTCAGCTCTACCTCCTTCCTCCCGGGGCTTTCTGCCCACATGGTCAGCCTGTCTTTCTTACCTGAGAGAAGGCCACGCGGCTGAAGCCACCACCCATGACACTGGTTGTATTTTGTATGGAGAAGGGGAAGGCGGCCCACTGGGAATGGTAGAAAGATTGTCAACGGTGTCCCACAGGGAACGGCTGTCCGTACCACATAATCGATCAGCCATGGATTGTAGCGGCGATCGCCCAACAGGATAGCTCCTCCTCTTCTTGACTTCTCCGTGTCTTTTCAGGTCGTAACTACCCACTTGCCGTCCCCGCAAACTGGAAACAAAGCGGCAGGGAAAACTCAGAGCAAATGCCAGCGATTCCAAAGAGAGAGGCCTGTCTCTCTAGACCAGCTGGCAGACATCTTCACAGATCTCTCCCCCCATGAGCAGTCGTTTGCGCTGGGGTGGACTTTGCTCACCAAGTGGTCCCACTGACTGTACCATGGGGTGCCCGCAGAGCCCCCGTCCCCCCCCCCCCACTGCCGGTCCCATGGGGGGCCCGCAGGCCCCCCGTCCCCCCCCCCCACCAAATCCCAAGGAAGCACGAGATGAGTTGCACCACCTCGCACCTCCAGAGCAGCCAGTCATTCACCACAGAAGCCACCTACACTGTCATCAAGACAATCGCACATACTGCCTGCAAATTGCTTGTTTCCTCAGAGTAATTCCACATATGGCTGTTGCACATGGGCATTGTGTCCCGAAAAGCCAAGCGGTCCCTGTGGATGGAGAACAACTCATGAAAGGCACCCATCAAAAGAGCTCTGTACCTTGCCTTGCCTTGCCTTGCCGTGCCTTGCCGTGCCTTGCCTCTCCTTCCATTTTCTCCTCTGCCTCTTTCCCATCCAGTGTGTGGATCCTTATCCACTGTCGTTGCAAGCCCTCCTTCTCCGTCCCACCTCCCCTCCTCTAGAAAGAAACTTGCCCCAGTTGGATGCTCCCAGTCCTTCCACCATCCTTGCACATCCTGGAGAATACCACTCTGTTTCCCACTTTCTTACCGCTTCCCTCGCCTTCTGTTTCTTCGGGCTCTAGAGCAGTGGCTTGAGGAGAGGCAGCACCAGCACTGTTGAAGACGGACACTCCTCTGTCCCGGGAGAGGCTGGTAGTGAGGCGGGTGAAGATCCGGGACCATGGCCCGAAGAACAGCACAACCACAGTGAAGTGGCAAGTGCCTTGCGTCTCTCTTCTCCTGTCTGCCGCCCTGGTGGAGAGCTGAACCACTGAGTCCCAGGAGCCCAGCAAGGCCAGGCTGCACACCAGGGCATTGGTGCCACCTTTGGAGACAAGGAGCACACCAGCCCAGCAGCTCTCGGCACAGGCCAGCATGGGCGGTACCTCACAGAAGAAGCAGTCCAGGTCATTGGGGCTGCGGCTGGGCAAACACAGGGTGAGCGCCACTGGCGCCAACAAGGGGAGAGTGGCCCCAGCCCTCAGGCCTGCCACCGCAATGGCACAGACCTTCCCTCGCATGACACCGGGGACCCCTGGGGCTGGCACATGGCCACAGATCGGTCGCAGGCCACGACTGCGAGCAGGAAGAGCTGGGCCACGCAGCTGCCAAAGCAGCTTGTCCTCTCCACAGGTAGGAAGTGCAGTGGCATCTTGAGCATCGTGACCAATGAGTGGCCGATTGCCGAGGCCCAGAATCCTAGAACCGTTGAGGTTTCCCAGAACTGGCAGTGCAGTGCTCAGGCAGAAGGAGACAAAGGAGGCAGCCAGGGACACAGCCCTCACACCCATCTCCAGCAGGGCAAAAGGCTCCCTGGCCGACTTCTCTGGCCACCCAGCGCACAGCCAGACACAGGGCAGCATCTGTGTCGGCACACATTGATGCCGAGCAGCGCTGCTTTTCTCCTGCTTGATGACACCGATCCCCATTTCTGCCTCGCCCTCTCCATCCAGCACTTCTCAGGACATTCAGCTCTACCTCCTTCCTCCCGGGGCTTTCTGCCCACATGGTCAGCCTGTCTTTCTTACCTGAGAGAAGGCCACGCGGCTGAAGCCACCACCCATGACACTGGTTGTATTTTGTATGGAGAAGGGGAAGGCGGCCCACTGGGAATGGTAGAAAGATTGTCAACGGTGTCCCACAGGGAACGGCTGTCCGTACCACATAATCGATCAGCCATGGATTGTAGCGGCGATCGCCCAACAGGATAGCTCCTCCTCTTCTTGACTTCTCCGTGTCTTTTCAGGTCGTAACTACCCACTTGCCGTCCCCGCAAACTGGAAACAAAGCGGCAGGGAAAACTCAGAGCAAATGCCAGCGATTCCAAAGAGAGAGGCCTGTCTCTCTAGACCAGCTGGCAGACATCTTCACAGATCTCTCCCCCCATGAGCAGTCGTTTGCGCTGGGGTGGACTTTGCTCACCAAGTGGTCCCACTGACTGTACCATGGGGTGCCCGCAGAGCCCCCGTCCCCCCCCCCCACCAAATCCCAAGGAAGCACGAGATGAGTTGCACCACCTCGCACCTCCAGAGCAGCCAGTCATTCACCACAGAAGCCACCTACACTGTCATCAAGACAATCGCACATACTGCCTGCAAATTGCTTGTTTCCTCAGAGTAATTCCACATATGGCTGTTGCACATGGGCATTGTGTCCCGAAAAGCCAAGCGGTCCCTGTGGATGGAGAACAACTCATGAAAGGCACCCATCAAAAGAGCTCTGTACCTTGCCTTGCCTTGCCTTGCCGTGC